TATAATAAGAATACTAGAGCGCTAACCGCAATGTATTCGATGTTCGAAATACGCAGAACTGTGTGTGTGTACCATCCAAGATGGCTACCATAGATTTAGCCAAACTCGAGTGTTGCGGTGTTTGGGTGTGATATTTGTGTCACGTCGAACGATCTTAGAAGGGAAAACAGTGCAAGGTAAAAATGAAGCAAGCAACATAATATATACGGACAAGTAAAAACATTTGCGGACAACCAAAGTTTCCATCTAGGTTGACCGCCGGACAACTTTAAGTTTTTCCTTATTTCGAACACTGGGTTGGGGCGTCCCTATTTTTGATATTCCAATGTTGGCAGGTATGAAATATTGTTGTAAAATGTGTCCTGGTTAATTATGTCGTCTTAATGCTTTATTTTGTGAAAAAAAGTGCATATAGGATTTTCCTACTTTCTCACCCCTGTTTGCTTTTAAGACAGTTATTTTTCATTATAATAACTTGCAAATAAATTTTACTAATATAACAACCTTTCCTTTTTTCCAGGTGTCCGTACGACCGTTTGAGCATACTCAGTTTGAGCGCTTCATTCCGTCAGCTTATCCATATTACAGTAGTGCGTTTTCCATGATGGTTGGCCTCTTTCTATTCAGTCTCGTGTTTTTACATCATAAAGAAGAACCAAAGGACAAGAAGGAGTAGATAAAATTTTCTTTTAAAATCTCTTTTTAACTTCCTAGTCCTATGAAACAATTTCTTTCCATAGACACATTTTCGTTGTTTTTTTCTTCTTTTTTTTTTTCACTTTCATTCCTCATAATATAAAATGTATTGCCTATTATAGTTAACATTTTAATTCTGGACACATGTTTAAGATTGTAAAACTTGCTTCTACTGTAATTTTTATTAGCGGATTACATCAAGAAACATAATTTATTAGCGGATTACATCAAGAAACATAATTTATTTTAATTTGTAAAGCCTGTAAGAAAGTTTATGATTGGAAATTCACTAATAAAGATGCTGTACAGGGGGAAAACTGTTGAGAAGATTTGTTGTTCTTAATGTTAAGTTAAGATCATCTAGTTTACACAGTAACATGAAGTCTGTGATCAGTGTAACATTGACAATGATGACCATGATGATAATCATGAATGATGATCATAATGATGGCGATCATGAATAATCATGATCACGGTTGTTATCAAGAGCATGATGTTCGTTATGATAGTGTTGATTATTCTGATGATGATCATCATCAAGACCCTGATGTTTATAAGTATAATTTTGATGATCATTATGATGGTGATGATGATGATAATGGTTGGACATAAACCAGCTGAGTCATACTCTGTCACAAATTTCCTGATTAAAAGTGATTTTGGATGAAATAAACATTTTTCTGAAACGTGCGTGATCGTAAATTTGGTACGCATTTACCACAAGTTTATGCGTGATAACAAATTCAGGGGAAAATCTATTAAAAATTAAAATAAAATTGGTTTTATTAAAAATATAATAACGGTCATGCAGTAACTTGATTCATTAGAGAGCTTTCGTTATCGTTCGAGAATCAATTAAGGAGGAAATTCCTCTTTCCTGTTTACGTACTCGTACCAAACTGCCAGCTTTCGCTACCTCGTTGCACATTCTCTATAAAAATATTTTTGTTTATGCACCCGGTATTGTCAACAAACACTTCCTGATATCGTTTTCAAACAGCTTAAAAATGCCCAGATGGTCGGAGCGAGAGCTGGACCCCACCCAGGCTCCACCCCCTGCACCCCGACAGGGGCCCTGGCGGCCACTGGTCCCCCAATCAGCTGGTGTAGTCACTAGCACATTTCAAAAGTTTGAAACTAGGACTTCCTACCTTCTACTATGTAGACGTCTTTAACAACTTTATGTATAAATTGGATTGGCTGCGTATATACCTAAATACAATGGCACGCTCGCCTATGGATCTTATGGAACAAGTCTTCTCAGATAAGGACTATAAACCATAGGCCCAGTGTACACATTTGGCTCATGTATATTTTAAATAACCCAGCTTATCTTTCACCCCTGTTGTGGACAGACAAGAACACGACCCCCTCCCCACATATTTTTAAGAGGGTTGGGCCCCCACGTTTTGACTGCAATGTAATTTCCAAAGGAAAGATGCCTGAACGTTGTTGAAATGAACTGCTTAAATGACCCAGGTTTGAACGAAAAAAAAAAAAAAACGCTGTACTGTATTGTACATCTTATTATAGAAAGATACCGGTATCACGTCTGAATTACCTATAACACAGGACTCGAGTATGCGTGCTTTTGTTATAATTTGAGAAGTATGAGAAAAAGTAAGATTTTCAGGCGCACAAAGTAAGTAAAGTAAATACAGTACATCAAAAGATAATTAAGTTCAATTTTCTATGGTACAATACAGATTAATTAGATCCCTATGATAGCCTAAAATCGCTGATAAAAGATCATGGTGGTGGTGTTATGATGATGACGACTTTTACTATATAATTGTGACATTTCCGACCTGCTTGGGGCAGGGACGTAGCCAGGATTTTGAAAAGGGGGGAGCCGTTATGCGAGATACGTATGACCCCGGCGGAGTCCAGGGGGACGAACCCCCCCCCCCCCCTGTAAGGTAGCGCACTCTGAACGTTTTAAGAGGATAAAGTGAAAATTGTATTAGACGCATCATAAATAATATTAGTAGGCCCAGCAATAATTATAATAAATCAACAGAATCCATGAATGCGAAAGAGAGGTGTCCCAGAGAGGGATTTTTACAGACTGAGGAACCACCCACCATGGTTGGGGCCGAGGTAAGAAAATTTATGATTAGGGCACCTCTAGATGGCCGGAAATTACGCTTTCATAATCAAATTTGAATATATTTTCTTTTTTTTTTTTCTCAAAAAAAAAAATCTTATCTAAATAGTCATAATCACGAAAAAAGGGCATGAAAAACCAGATCACATTTTAAAAACAAATTTATGCCCCTCTCCTCAGCAGTCACAAGACACTCTGAGTCAGGTGCTGACTCGATGCAGTTTAATGTCATACCCAGAAGGGCGCAGATCTGTTTTGTAAGGTTGAGGGGGAGGACATTTTGTGAGTTGGCACCTACCTCAGACTCACCATGGTTGGAGCTGAGGAGCGAAAATGTGAGGAAATAGTACCTCTAGATGGCCAGAAACAAAACCTTTAGTAAAATTAATTATCATCACATCACCGGTACCGGTAGTCCAAATGAAGCGCCAAAAAAATCTCACGGTCCTTTTTATCAGGGATTTTCTGCAACCAAAAAGATCTTATGAATGTGTGTGATATACCATAGAAAACAAAGCTTAAAAACATTGTCTTTGAGTATGTTCTTTACATACTTCAAAACCGAGAAAAATTGAGGAAATAGTACCTCTAGATGGCCGGAAATCACACTTTCACGTAGTAAAATTCATCATCATCACATCACCATTACATAGTCAAAATGAAACGCCAACAAATTTCTCCTGTACTTTAACATGGATCTACTTGATATCCAGGACAACTTGACCTAAATATTATTTACTATATACCGTAAGCTTTAACTATCATCAACAAATCACAACTTTATTTTTCGCCTTTAGTACAATTTCCTTCACATGTTAATATTATTAATATTTCTATCAATTATCATCATCATCATCATCATCATCATCACCACCATTATTATTATTATTATTATTATTATTATTATTATTATTATTATTATTATTATTATTATTATTATTATTATTATTACTACTACTACTACTACTAATAGTATAGTATTATTAAACAGTAGGGCCTACTTTAAAGAAGCTTGCAAAAGGAAAAAACCAAACTGAACCATACAGTATCACATTTCTGTATCTTAAAAGACTTGGCCTGGGATTTATGGATTTTTAAAAAGCACGCTTAGACATGTGTTATAATTACAGTAGGCCAGGCCTATGTAAAACGAGTACTGATGCATTTTTACGTATTTTAGAAGTATTTTGAGTGGTCCCAGGAAATAATTTGTATTGACTCAAAAAAAAGCTTTAAAATTTTTACACTGTTTACAAAGGGGGGAGCCACGGCTCCCCTCCCCTTGGATACGTCCCTGGCTTGAGGTATTCCCTACAAATGTTTGTACCCGAGGTGGCTATGAAGTAGGTAAAGTAAAAGTAAAAATACATCAAAGACAATGTTTTTCAGTTTTATTTTCTTTTTATTTTTTATGGTACATGACG